AAGGAACGTGTCGAGTCTTCAGGTAGCTACTCATTTGATGTCTGTTAGCTTTTGTCTACCCTTTTATGGGCATGTACAGGGCGCACACAGTGAGCCCATTTCATTTTGACACTTAGTATCATGTCTGTAAATATAAATTACATATTATTGTAAAACAAGCATCAGCATGATATTATATTCAATATACATTATGATATCAGCATAGATATCAGCATGACAAGACATAAAGTCAACCAGTTTGTAGCGTCTCGGTTCGGTTCATTCGGGTTAACGGGTGGACCGGGAAGGGATGTTACACCTTTTGTTTCCTTGTCTTTTATTGTATTTTCAATATAACGGTGGTAAGGTGTTCTCAACTCTATTTTATTTTTATAACTTGTTTTGATAATATATGATAAATTTGGGAAGTGGTCTTATTTTTGCACACATTGGAGACAATGTGCTAGATTAAGTTGGGGGAAGGAAAATTTTAGTTAAAATTTTAATTTTTTTTGTTTGTTTTTATTAGCTTAATATGGTTAGAATAATTGTGAGCAAACTTGAAAATTATCATAATTTAGTAACTTATGATAAATTTAGTTGTTTTTCTAGTCTAATATATTTGAGCTTTAATTTTAATTTTTGACTTAGCATGATTCTTTAGTTTAACTATTTGTTTCTTTATAAACACTAATTTTGTGAATTTTATGATATATAGATATGTTTTTAATTAAAATTTATTTAAACCGTTGGCATCCTAGAACAAATTAGAATTAACCCTTTTAAATAAAATTTTTAAATGCTTACATTTAGAAGAGATGAGTTTAGGCATTCTTGTGAACCCTATTAAGCCTAGGCTAAACTAAAATTAAAAATATGAACTTTTGCCAATCAATGTTTGAAGGCCTATATCCAAATTTTATTGTTTCACCTTTATTAGCCTAGCCATTTAAACCAACTTAAAATTTCCTACCTTTATTAAGCCTAGCCATTAAACCAACTTAATTTCCTACCTTAAGTGCAATAATGTATAATTGAAGGATTTGATTTCTGTTAAAACATAGCAACTAAAGGGAGAAAAATTTTATTAATACTAACAAGTGAAGCAACTAGAAAAACAAAGAGAAACACCCCATAAAAGAAGCAATCAATCAAGAATTCAAGTTTGGAGAATTAAAGTAAGAAAGAAATTATCAAAGTATTATGAAAAGACCTTGCCAAAATATATCTACTTTTGAGCTAGTGAAGAACTTCAAGATTAATCTCCCTTTATAAAGAAAAATATGTTTTGATATAATGAAAATCTTGATATTATGCATTTTCTATGCTCTTTGTCTATCTTTTTATCATTTTTCTTTGTTTAGCTAAAATTATACCTCTAAAACCCCATTACAACCGAAATAAAGATCTTTTGATCCTTTTAAATTGTATGGATTTCAATTGTGGAGAAGGGATAACTAATTTTTGCCTATGAGAATGTTGAATTTATATTGTTAAACATCTTAATTAAAGGTTATATAATTTTTGTGAACATTCATATTCTACTTGTCATAGGTTGAATAATTATTGGTGTTGAAAATCTTATTAACTTATGTTTAAATTAAGGAATGTGTTTCATTGGAAATTAAATTTTTGATTAGCATGGGAAACACTTGATTTATTCTCATGTTAATGATTTTTGATACTTTTGAAATTGTGAATAATTATCCCCAACCATATTAAGCTAGTTTTGTTTAGTTTGTTTAGCTTGTGTTTTTCTTTTTGTTTTTAGTTTTGTTGCTTGAGAACAAGTAATGATTTAAGTTTGGGAAATTTTGATAAGTGTATTTTTAGAGTAATTTTAATATTGTTTTTTTTAGGATTTTTTAGTAGTTTTAATTAATTTTATTAGTTTTTATTTTGTTTTATTTATGTTTTTGTTCAAAGCTTCCTTGAAACATAATTTGCTTGATCTTAAGGAAATTTTTAGGATTTTGGCACATAAAAGTACAAAATAAGGCAAAATCACTCAGGCTCTATCACGCCCTGCCCGTGCCTCACAGCACGCCCATGCTAAAAATCAATTGTTGTTTTGAGTCGAAAACGCCAGTCAGTCCCTACCACTTGGATGGGCCCACCTGAGATATTTTCCTGACATACAAATCAAGATCTAATCCTATTTAGGCAGATGGAAGAGTCCTAATTAAGAAGAAATCCAAAACCAAAACAGTTTCTTATTTCCAAAAAGATTTCTTACTTAACGATGATTCTATTTCCTAAACGAAGTCGGATTTTCTCCCAAGAAGTTTATATAAAGAGAGGAGCCATTTATTATATATTCGATCTCTTGTTCTATTATTTTCTACGTAATTCTCTCTCTTTCCAAGGCTTCAAGCATTCAAGTTGGCGTCAAGATTCAAGGAAGCCAAGGAAGCTGTCAAGCCTATGCTTGACCAGTTTTTATTTCAAAACTCTCTATTTTGTTTATTATTCTTTATGGATTATTTACAAGTTTAATTGAGTTTATTTAAATTACTATGTGAAACCTAAAACTCTCATACTAGATTTGATATAGCTTTAATTTTGATTCCAATTTAATAATATTAGATTTATTTTCTTTGTTCATGATATAATTTATTATTGAACTTTAATGCGTCCAGGTAGAGTTTCTCCCCTGGATTGATTTTATTTCCATTAATCACTTTGGGAGAAGGGTTTATTTGATATGAAAAGGTAAATAAATTACATGAGAATAATAATTTTTTTGCGGGAAGCCTATATGGTTTGGACTCCATGGGGTTTTCATAAATTAATGACTTTAGGTTATGAATTCACAAAACAAACCCATTAAAACTAATGATTTAATTCATGTTGATTGCGCGTTTGATTGCGCTATTGGAAGATAGGTAATTAGACCGGGTTAAAATAGCTAACAATACATCGGGGGAACTTGTTAGTGATTTTAGGGTTGCTTCCCCTACATAAACATTTAAAATTGATTATCAAACTAATAAAATAAATTGGATAGAATTAAGTGAAGTCAAAATTCCTAGTAGCTTTAAATTATTGATTTCTTTTCGTCAAATATTATTACTTGATTTCTTTTTATTCTCTTTTATTTATTTAATTTAATTTTTTTTAAAATAATCTCATTTATTGCCGTTTAAATAATAATAGGTTAAAAGATAATTTTGGTACTTTGGTATATAACATTTCTTTTTATTCTCTTTTATTTATTTAATTTAATTTTTTTTAAAATAATCTCATTTATTGCCGTTTAAATAATAATAGGTTAAGATAATTTTGGTACTTGGTATATAATTCCTGTGGATAAGATACTCTACTTATTCTATATTACTTGTTGTGATTTCGTACACTTGCAAAAATCACTGTCATCTTTCATTTAATATCAAAAATTAAAATTTTTTTGATATAATGATTCGCCATTTTAATTGAATAAAATCTTTGAAACTTTGCGACGATTTATTCAAATAACAAAGACAGTAATTTAATTTCAATCAAATTTCAAAGAATTCATATTAATTTACCTAAAAGGAAAAAAAAAATTTCGCACATATTTTTAATTATATTAAAAAGAATTTTTTTATACACTAAAATTAAAATGAGTTGAACGATCACTCATTTCTAATTAATCTTTAAGCACAAAACTACAAATTCATATGCTAACCAATTAGCCATTATTGTATATTTCTTTTCTTTTGGGTGCATGTAACATTGTTACCCCTGTCACATGCATAACACGTGTCACTTTTTTACTTTTAACAAAACAGATCCCTCTTTTTTCATTTTCTTTCGTTTTTTTTTTACCTTTTTTTGGCTTATCTTGTAAAGAGCCCATCCCTCCTTTTTGACTCATTATCCATGGAATATTAATAAATTTATTTCAAAAGTAATAAAAGAATAAAATAAACCATCAGCTCAATAACATTCCATGTCAGCAAAACACCATCTTGTTCATGTAGATTCTGCCTCTATTTAAAATAACCTACAACTACAACCACCACAAACATTTCCTTTGAAATTAACTTCGTATGGAATATTCTTGAATGTTCTGTTCAATAGCTAACTCAGTGTCTTTAAGAATTAAAGACTTATATTTATTATTAATTGAATATTTTAATTTTTAATTGGGTGAAAAAATTTATAGAAAAATATTGAATAAAAAGGAGTATTACCTTCCTGTAAATACTTTTTGATTCTGGCAAAAAAAAATCAATAATAATAATAATAATAATAATAATAATAATTTGAATATTCTACAAATATAATTATAATCCTCTTTAAATATAAAATTACTCTCATTTGGAGACTCAAAAATTATACTAATACAATAATATTAATTATAATTAGTAGTATGAATAATTATACTATTTAATACTCCTAATTATAGAAAAACATATAATATTCTCTAATTAAAAAATATAATTGTACTATTTATAATACTCTCATTTGGAGTAATTAACAATTATAAATCAAGTTTCTTGTCTTAGATAAAGAAAAATATATATTTTTAAAATTTTTTAATTATATATAAATAAATTACCTTAATCAAATAAAAAAAATAAATTTAATGAAAGGAATAAAATATTATATGGATAAATGATAAAAAAAAAATATGTAATCATATGCAATGCAACTAGCTACACTGTGTAAAAATGATTGGTTTCTACTAATAGAAACCAAAGTTTTAATAATTACTACATGTAATTAAACAAATTTATTTCATTTCATACAATTTTACAATTTTTCTTATTTTTTCATAAATATTAGTAGTAAGAGAAAGGAAAAAACAAAAAACAGAAAAGTGCTGTAATTCCCCAAAAAACCGGATTTTAAGGAGCCGTTAGGGAGTCCCTCGGGAAAAAATAGGGGTAATAATGTCAATCTGCAGCATTTCCAACAAAGGCAAGTCTCATTCGGCAGTATCAATGACACATAATTACACCATTTCACAGTACAACAAAGGAAAAAGTTCTCCTGGTTTTAATGCTCCTGTAGTCCTCTTCACTACCCTACCCTCCCTTGATTGATTCAAATACATTAATACAATACGGAGATACAGAGAAAGTGACATTTTCTCTGCAAATCTCTAATTAATTTCCATTTCCATCCTTTATTTTCCCTTTTTTTTTTTCTCTCTGTTTCTTTTCGATTTCTTTGAAATATATTAATTATTCTTTACTGAACTGGAATGAACGTAGATATCACACACAAATAAGCACACTCACGCATATCGAGGCTACCTTCTTCTCTGCACCCACTGTTACAGATTCCTCTCTCTCCTGCTTTTAACACTTCCTCTGTTTTGTTTGCATAATTGCAGGTCCTTCTCTCTCTATTTCTGTCTGTGTGAAATCTGATTACAGCATTGGCTTTCAATCTTCAGGTTTCTGTTAATGGCTTAGATTTTTTTTGACTTCTCAACCGCTCTTTGCTTGTTCGTGTTACCATCTTATTGTGAAAACAACTACTCCCTTCTCCGCCTTTTCACTTTCGGCTCTGTTTTTCCCCTGAAAGAAAAGAAAAGATAAACCATATCATTTTTTCTACTTCATTTTCGGTTTGTACTGTCTTACTCTTGTCTCAATCCTGTAATCAGAGCTTTCTTCAAGTGGGTTTCTCGTTTCTTGTACAACAACACAACGCATTTGCTTCTGTTGCTGTAGAAAAGCCCGCTCTGCTCTAAACCAAAGTTGGGTTTTTAAGAAGAAAGGGTTTTGCCTTTTTTCCTTCGTATCATTCCTTCATTTTCATTACCATTGTGAATTTCTTCAGGTGCATTTATAATTGTTTCCAGAGTTTTTATGGTCTTCTAGGCAGATTCTAAAGAGCGAAGTTAGTATACTAGAACGGTGTCGTTCAAGCTCTTGGGAATAGTGGGTTTAAGAAATGTCTATGAGTACGAGGAAAATGCAGTTAGAGTGCAATTTCTGGTGAAAAAAAGTTTATTTATTTATTTATTTTCATTCTGTTTGGATACTCAAAAATGGAGTTCATTTCATGAAACGGGTACTCATTTCTTACTTTAAAAATGGGTTCTGCAAGCTCTAAAGCAGAGAGAAATGAAGCTTTGCGTTTATGCAAAGAGCGAAGGAGGTTCATAAAGCAAGCAATAGATTCAAGGTACAATCTTGCAGCAGCTCATGTATCTTATATTATCTCTTTAAAAAACCTTGGCATAGCTCTCCGGCGATTTGCAGAGGCAGAGATTTTGATAGAATCTTCTCTATCAACAACGTCTGCAACTGAACTTGACAAAACCCCATCACACTCCTCATACCCTTCTCCCTCTCCCTCTCACATTGCAGAGGTTTCCGATTCACCTTTGCATAATGAAAGTCCCATTTCACCCCCAGTGGTGAAAATGAGTTATATGAGAGCAGGGGGAGTTAGCAATTCTGTGACTGTAAAGATTAGTTTGAATAATGGTAATGATGGTTTTGTTGAAGATGAATCGTTAGGGTTTTCCATGCCAATGCCGCCTCCTCCTCCTCCTCCTCCTCCTTTTGAGTCAGGTGGTTCTTGGGATTATTTTGATCCAAGTGATAATTGTGAAAGTTTTAGGTTTTTTAGGGGCAATGAATTGGATGTGGATTTTGATGATTTCAAAGGTTGGAATGAATTTCGGGGTCAAAGGGTTGGCATTGACCATAATGTGGTAGATGCTAAGGGGAAATGGACTAACGTTGGTTTAGATGGAAACGGTCACGTAAATGAAGGAAATTTAGGACCTAAATTGGAGCAAAAGGGTTTAGAAACCTCCAGTAATTCTAAAGTACTAAATGCTAGCTTTGTTGCAAGAGTAGAAGGCAATTCCCATTCAATTAGACAACCAATAGATATTCAAGTGAGGCAGGCAGAAATAGCACAAAATGTGACTCTTTTGCAATCTGGTTCAAAGAAAGAGAAAGCAGTGACCATGAAAGATTTATCTGCAGAGAGAGAAGATCCTTCAGAATTCATTACTCATAGAGCGAAGGATTTTCTTTCAAGTATCAAGGATATAGAGCATCGGTTTTTTAGAGCTTCTGAATCTGGCAAGGAGGTTTCCAGGATGCTTGAAGCAAACAATATAAGGGTTGGATATTCTGAGACAAAAGGTGATTGCTTTTGTTGATAACTAAAATTAATGTAATCGGGTTCCTTATCTGTCTGTTGCATTGCAAATGCTTGATGCTTTTGCTGCTGTAACTTTTTCATTGCTAATTTTTTATGCAAAAACTTCATACCAATTTTGATTCTCACAGGGAGTTCATCTGCCTCAGCAATTCTGGCAAATTTTCAGGTTTGCTGCCGTGGAAAGACTGCACTTGTTTCTCATGGTAAGCTTTCGCTTCAAGCATATTACGTGCCAACTTGAAGAATTTAAAGAGAATTTGTAAGATTTTAGCACTTTGGGACATTTGATAAATTGTAATTGAATGTAATGTAAAGTAATCAAATGCATTTTGGTGTAATTTGATTCTTATTGTGGTTACCATAAAAATGCATTTGATTACATTATATTATGGCTTACCAAATATATCCTCGTTTCATTTGGTAAAGCCATAACAAAGGCCAGTAAGATAAAGCCTGGCCAACAAGGTTAACGATAGTTTAGGCTGTATCTGGTGCATACACAATAAAATAAATGTTGCAACTGTGTAACAGTTAAATATTTCAATTCCTTTTTTTATGGGACTACTTGATTCACTTAATGCCTGGTGCCTGCTCAGTGCTGAATCAATAGTTGATTTCAACTAGCAGGATGCAGAGTAGAACCTTTTCTCCTCTTATTTTCTATGAGTGTGCATTATTTCTTGTCTTTTCATGCTATTTTTATCTTATACAATCTTTTAGAACCAGCAGAACATGTTACTAAGGTTATTACCTGGAAGCGGACAGCATCTTCAAGGTCATCTTCTTCTAGAAATCCACTTGCCACAGCCGCAAGAGACGATGTGTCTGACAGTGGTAGTGATTTTGTAGAAGAATTCTGCATGATTGCTGGAAGTCATTCCTCCACCCTTGATAGGCTGTATGCATGGGAAAGAAAACTATATGACGAAGTAAAGGTACTTAATTTAGACCTTGTTGCTTGCATGAATAATAACATGTTCTTGTGCCTACAGCACATGAATGTCGACATCATCCCATCGCTTTTCATTATATGCAATACATTGTTGAGTAATGTGATGAAGTACTATAGATATTGTACAACGATATACAAGTGAATGCACTGAACCAAGAAAGAAACTAATTAAAGCAATCAATAAGGCCACCCAATTTATAAATAGTTTGTATCTGTAATCCTGTTATGCATTAAGATTTTTCCTGTATGACCTAACCGGTTCTCTGGATTCATTTGGCAATTTTTGTGATGTGGAATTGTATAAAAGTTTTTGATCGCATAAATGTTTTTCTCGCATGATCGGTGGTGTTACTCATTATTGCAACCCAAAATACTTGCACTAGATGATGATGCTCAGTGGTGGGCATCATATATTGATTCTTCAAATTAATTAAACATTCTATATAATTTTGGAAATAGCCTAGTCTGGTTCCATGATACATACTTATATTTGATATGCTTAAATTCAACTTCTACACCACCATTTACAATAAATGAGAGAGGAGCTGTGAATAATGAGGAAGATTGGCAGATGGCACTAATCGAGTCAAATGAGTTTCGTTGCCGGTTGTAAGTTGTGACCCTGGATTTATCACTTCTTTTTTACTCTCTTTTTCTCACTTTTCTATCTGTCTTCGCTTTTGATGGCTCCAAATTATCCCCTCAATAAAAACCTATTGTGTGGTTATTATGCCAATATTCCATAAGTTGTGCAAAATGACAAAAATTGTTGATCCCTCAAGGATTGTCCCTGAGAAGGTGTACATAATGTTCATTGGCTCAAAGAGTCAGATCAAGACCATGGAATTCGGTAAATATTATCAGTACTTACCTAATAGACTAACTTTTTATTTGTTGGAGGAGAATTTTAGACTGCATCATTTTTTAAGATGAAAGTCCATAGTTTTAACTTTTTATTCATCAAAGAGCTCTTAGACTACATATTTTTCTAACATCAGAGTCTAATCAACCTAAGAATTCTATTTGCAATATGGCACCTTTTAGATCAAATTTTAAAGTGTATTTTTTTTTCATGTTTGAGGCAAATTCTAACAAATACAGGTGCAGCAGTGAGCATATTTTTAAAGTTTTTAGAATATATAGTTGTTTCACAGGAACTCCTTGAGCAACGTTGTTTATGAAAGCTGCCTTAAATGCATGATACATCAAGTGCTTCACTCTTTGATGCATCTTTGCTATCCTTCAGACAACCAATGCACATGCAAAGGCATCTTGTTCGAAGCTAGACTTCAAGTTATATAAAGAGATTTTTTTTTTTTTTTTTTTTTTATTAAGACAAACCAATGACCATGCAAAGGGCATCTTGTTCCGAATAGCCTAGACTTTCAAGTTATATTATAAAGAATTTTTTTTTTTTTTTTTGTTAACAATCCAATCCAGATGCAAAAGACATCTATGTTTCCAATGCACATGATTTATTACGTTTCTTTTTGTTCCAGCCACACTCAGATCCCCTTCAACCCTAATTGTAATATGTTTGCCTTAACCCTTTTGGCTTGCATCAACTTGGTTCAAAGTGTCACATATTCTGATCTGAAGGATATCCCTTCAGCGCCTATCATACTCTCCTGCCGTTGCCTTTTTTTTTTTTTTTTTTTTTTAACAATCCAATCCAGATGCAAAGACATCTTGTTCCAATGCACATGATTTATTACGTTTCTTTGTTCCAGCCACACTCAATCCCCTTCAACCCTAATTGTAATATGTTGCCTTAACCCTTTGGCTGCATCAACTTGTTCAAGTGTCACATATCTGATCTGGGATTCCTTCAGCCTATCATACTCTTGGTGCAAGTCCTACATGGTCATAGAGAACCATTATATATAGCAATTCAAATTTAAGTGAGAGAAACAATTTATTTACATTACTGCTTCTAAAGATGCATTATTGAACTTCTTGTGCCATATAAAAACTATTAGTTCAAAAAGCTAAATGTGCCCTGAATGTTGAGTCGACTTCACCATTATCTTGTTATTTTATTCAAGTATATTAGTGTTGTCATCCTTAAACGATCAAACTTATTAACAAGTTGGTTGTACTGTAGGCAAGTGAATTCATCAGGAAGGAGTATGATCGGAAATGTAACCAACTCCGGCACCAATTCGCCAAGGATCATAGTGCCCAAGTGATTGACAAGACTAGAGCAGTTGTGAAGGATCTACATTCACGGATAATAGTGGCAATTCACTCCGTTGATACTATTTCAAAGAGGATTGAGAAAATGAGAGATGAAGAATTGCAGCCACAACTTCTAGAGCTAATTCAAGGGTAAGTGCTCTTTCCATTTCCTTGTTTGTCATTAAATATCTGATATTATTGCCACTTGTTATCATTATATTGTAGTCTTGAGATCTACGCCTGGGTGAATGTAGTGAATTATCTATATTTTTTAATTCATTGCAAAGTATTGCATGTAGGCTGATCAGGATGTGGAAGGCCATGCTCGAATGCCATCATTCACAGTATATCACCATCTCATTGGCATACCACTCAAGAAATGCTACAGGAACTCCTCAGGGAGATACTCGCAGGCAGATTATGGCTCAGCTTCAGGAGGAGATTGAGTGTTTTGGCTTAAGCTTTGCAAACTGGGTCAACAGTCTCGCATCCTATGTGGAAGCCCTTAATGGTTGGCTACAACACTGCATCTTGCAGCCACAGGAGCGTTCCAAGAGCAGGAAACCATTCTCCCCTCGTCGAGCTGTGGCGCCACCTATTTTTGTTCTCTGTCGTGATTGGTCAGCTGGGATCAAAGCTTTGCCATCTGAGGAACTTAGCAATGCCATTAAAACCTTCTTATTTGACTTGTGTGATTTAATGGACCAACAAGTACAAAAGAAAGAGAAATCAGTTGACGCAAACAATGGAGAATCAGAGGGCAAAGATGATGATGAGAAAAATGATGAGACCTCGTCAAACTTGCCGTGCATCCAAGCAAGTTTGACAAAGGTTCTTGATAGACTAAACAAATTTTCTGAGGCTTCGCTGAAAATGTACGAGGACATTAGACAGAGAAGTGAAGCAGCTCGATTGGCATACTTGAATTGCAGGCCAGCTAGATATTAAAGGTTATGTAATTATGAGCAGTGTTATGTAATTATAAAGCATTTTCACTCAGTTTATGATTGGTACTTGGAGACGAAAATAGATACTTGTAAATGTTGAAAGTATCGGTTCAAGGAGTGTTTGGGGAGAGTTAGAATTTGTTTTGCAGCATTGCAGAAATAGTGTTTTGCATCTTACTAGGATTCTTTAGTTTTTTGAGCTTTGTATTGCTTTCCAACCAGAAAATATAGATTTTTGCAGCCTTTTTGAGTTTTTATTACTTGTTTTATCAGGGGGCACTATGACCAGAAAGGAAAGATGAGGTGAGTTTATCTTAAGACATTTATCATCATGGCATTTTTCCCATAAGAAGCATCCACTTCTACATCTATCTTTTCTTTTTAGAGTGGAAAGATAACGGGTATTATTTACTTTCATTATTGCAGGTTCGAAGAACTTGGTTTTATTAAAGGGAGTACAAGTAAATGAACAAAGAATTCATTTGATTGGTGAATTTATAATGAATTTTCATGAAGGGAATATTGTATTGAAAATGAAAATCCATTTGATGTGTAGTATAATTAACTTGTACTTTTGTTAGTTCAAAATATATTGTTCTAGTAAATTTAAACTCATCACAGATTTCTCTCAAAAAAAAAAAAAAGAAAAGAAAAGAAAAGCGAAAAACTCTTTTACAGATTCTGTTGATATAATTTGATTGTGTAAAGTTGCTAAATTTTCTAGGTGTAAGTAAAGTTATACGTTTAAAATAAGTTCTTAAACTAATGCAGCTATGAAAATTTGTTTAACTCTGTAATATTTTTATGTTATTCATGCGTTTGATTTGAAATTTGAGATTTTCAACTGTAATTTAGCCTTCCTCAAATTTAAAATCTAAGATTTTATAAGCTTTTAAAACTTGTTATGAATTATTTGAATAAATATTTGACAATCCAAACATTGAATTTTAATCAATTCAAATACATAAATCCGAACATGATATTGCTAAAATTCGTTTTGAACTAGAGGATCGTTTTCGACTTCTCATGATGCTAGCGGAGTAGCTCACTCTAGATTTTTCCATGTAATTTTTCTTTTTCTTCATTTACATAACCAAAAGGAAAAAAGGCATCTACAAATAAAATGAATTTACATTTAAATTAAAAGCAAACACTCTATAAGTAAAAATCCATTCATCCAAACATGACAATTGTGGATTTATAAATGAATTAAATAAAGTTTTATGAAATTTATTAATACCAAACAAGAAGAAATTTGTACAACTATATTCTGAAAGGGAAAAAAAACATCAATATCTTCATTTTCTTATCATGTTATTCTTCCCTTGATGCAACGGAGTTTTTAATGAGCAATAAAAATACAAAAACTAAGGAATAAGAAAGCCTACCACTTTTTCCCAATTGCTGGGGCACTTGAATTTTTAACTTGTCATCCCTGTTTTAAAATCCAACATACTGAGTGTACTGAGCATAAGCATCAGATTGCATGGCAATTGGGGCCCGTGTAACGTGATCAGGAAAATCGAAAGCATCAACAAGTTCCCTCGCAATATTCCTCACTTGGAAACTAAGGTACTCTGTTAGCTTATGGATTGCCTGCACAATGAGAAAGTTGCATTACATAAGTGGAAAATCCCTATTAGACATCTCCTGTAACTATAAATTCCCAGGGAAAATATAACATGTATAAATGTCGTTTACTAGCTTTAATCACCATATGACATTATACATCATCACATCAGCACAAACTTACAGCGGTGATATATTAATGGTTAACTAAAAAAAATCGTTCAAACTTCACATTTCAACTCATATAAACAGCCTAAAAGAAGCGGAAATATCACGATACTGTCTGGCATCTGAATACCTTAGCTTTGTTTGGTGCAACATAGTCAACATTGCGGTATGTTCCAATGTCATTCCAGATCCGGTCCAAGGCATAAAGATCACAGACAAGTTTTAAAGCAGCTCGAGAGCTTGCATCAGGACAACTGGTACATCAACAGGTGAAATTAGAAAATAATTAGCCACGTAAAGAGGATGGAAAAAGTTTTGAGGCTGAGTTTAGGGAGTACTTCTGCACAGCTTCAATAAATTTTGCAAGGATCACGGATTCAACGTGAGATTCTGCAAGTGTGAGAAGGTGATTCAAGCACCGATTCCAAGCACCAAAGCTACCAAGACTTTTAGAGTGCTTGCGAAGTCGGACAGCAACACTTTGAAGCAGTCGAGATGTTCGGTACTGTAAGAAAAACAGTCAGTAATAGCTAGACATGCAGGTAGATTGTTTTATATATAATTATGGCTTTTACATCACAAAACCAGTGCTGCACTCACTCTGAAGGCATCCAACTGGAATTTAGGGTCTCTCAAGTGATCTTCACCCTCCCATCGTGCAGTTACTGGATTTGGTTGAGATAGATATGTATTCATTGATTCTCTCAGATAGTTCCATGTCACTGCCAATGTCCCACCTTGGAACTTCTCCTTGTATTGCTTTAAGAGATCACCTGCTACCTATGTCACAACTGAAATTTCAGACCCAGGTACAATTAAGAAGAAATAATATTTCCCAGACCTTATAAATAAAATCAATACTAGACTATAGCATCTGTTAATTCAAACCTATATTTTTGTAGTGTAAAAATTCAATTTTTCAGTCAACTGAAATTCTAGCAATTTTCTTTCTTTGATTTGTCTGATTTAATTCTATCCTAGATGTGATGCTCAGGAATTGAGATGTTTAAAGCCTACCCTTCTGTTTTACAATTTCCTTACAAGTCCTAATTGGCCAACTAAATATTTACTAATTCTAGCCTTCAGAAGTTCAGATAAATCAACTGTAGACTAAATAATTAACCTTGCATGCTATTCTACAACAAAACCTTCATCCAAACACAAGGCTACTATCCAGAAAAAGAATGCAGAGCGCATATTCTTTTACTGTAAGCTTAAATAACCATCAAATGACATTCATCAAATTAGCACACATCATAAACCATCAAGCAAAGATGCAATAAAAAGTTTTTGAGCACCTGTTGTAGCAGCACTGTGTTATCCCCTTCAAATGTCTGAAAAATGTCATGGTCATTTCTCAAGGTACCAAACCGATTGACAGCAGCATACCCATGTCCTCCACATGCTTCCCGGCAGACAGACAATGACTTTGCTGTATATGATGTCACATATGCCTTAAGGCCAGCTGAAAGTGCATGGACATCTCCAACTAATTGTTCATCATGAGTCTTTTTCATCTCCGAATATTTTTCTACCAAATGAATAGCGGCAAAATGGAATGCATAAGTTGAAGCTAGCATTGGCATGAGCTTGTGCTGCTGAGACTGATAATCAAGAATACTGACTTCAGGCTGCTTGGGAGGGCCAAACTGCTGGCGCAGCAAAGAATATCGGATGGCAATTGTTCCAGCAAGCTTGAGTACAGCAACTGAAGAATATGCAAGGCCAACCCTTCCACCAACAAGTTCCCCTAATGTAGCAGCAAATCGTTTATTTATAGTTGGAAGGCTGCTAGTGTACTTCCCATCCCGAGACACATCTCCAAATCGATTAAGAAGATTATCCCGGGGAATTCTTACTGAACTGAACCTCAACGCTCCATTGTCTACCCCATTTAGGCCTATCTTGTGGCCACAATCATGTATTTCAATTCCTGGAAGTGTCTGGTGAGTATTTATATCCCTTATCGGAACAATGAAGGCATGGACACCCATATCAGAGACGCCCTTAGAATCATGAGTAGGCAAAATCAGCCTGGCAAAAACAGTAGCAAACTTGCCATGAACTGCAGCATTGCCAATCCACCATTTGAGAGCTCCATCATGAGGAGTGTTGATTACAAATTCATCTCTAACTGGATCAAATGTTGCAACGGTTTGAAGGCCTTGCACATTTGAACCTTTGAAGCACAAAAGTAGATCATTTAATTAAGAAGTCTTTAAGTCACAATTACATCCAATAAAATAAAATACCCAAAATTTATATGTGCCTAGTAGAAAGAAACCTAGGTTCAGATCTAGGTACAATTCAAATGATAAAGACTGTAAAAGATATTTAGATGTGCATATGCACACATACTTCAAAGGAAAAGATACACAAAAGATTTATGCCTATAATCAAACAGAAGCCTCTGGCAATATTCATCCAGAGAAAATGAAATGAATAGTTGAATGGCGTTATATATAGTGTATCAGGACTACACCACTTCAATGACTTGCAGAATTTTTTGGATATTTTTCTTCAGAAGTCATACGCGATGCTACAACAGATGTCTTTCCACAGGAAACCTGATCCTTTCAAGATATATCTCCAATTCAAATTTCAGAAAAAAAATTAAATATTCATGGTTACAGTCCTGCTGAAGTTTAGAGAGTGGAGGAAGTTGGCGAAAGTTTGTGAAGCAGAATTGACTTGGACAGAAATATATATAGCAACTATTATGCTTCTGTTGGCAAATGGCAGTAGTAGGAACTTAAAAAAATTTTATACTTCATGGGAACGTTTAGCAATTTTCTATTTGTTTCTCAATCTAAGTCTATCGTAAAGCAAATTTGCGTTTTTGGTTGAACTGTTGTGTTTTGAGGGTGAGAACCTAGGATTCTACATCACTTTGTTAATGAGCATCTGATACACAATGGTAATGGAACAGTAATATATGTCCCATTAAACATCATAGTAGAAAATCGGAGAACTAAATGTTGGTAGAAGAGCTTACCATGATGTAGCTCTGTCATAGCAAAACAACCTGGGTATTCCAAATTGTCAATACCATCAAAGTACTTTTCCCTATGCTTTTTAGTTCCTAAGTTGATAACAGAGCCTCCCCAGAGACTGCACGAACAAATACTAAAAGTCAGAATTACATAGAAAAGATGATATGTGATTGGCCAACCAATTACGATAAAACATGCTAAGATTAAAGACAGGACAAAACAATCCAAGTGACAAACTAATATCTCATCTCGTACATTTAAACCTAAGAAGCACAAATCAAGAGATATGAAAATTGACTGAAAGGGTCAAAGATTCAAAAATTTCTTAAGCTAGTACACTGATTGAGGTTACTATAGAGGGCACTTATCTCATGCTTGATTATCTCAAAAATTTCTAACATGTTGAACTTAGAAATAAGGCATGATATTATTTTTCCCACTTCATGTTATCAAGATGGATGAAGGCTCATTGCCTGATGCCAAAAAGACAAAGAAGATTCTCACTCTTTAAAAATAGGAGGGGGAGTAAAGAAAAGAGACATCCCAGAAATAAACCAGTAAACAATCTGCAAACATTGAATCGTGTAGATAATCATGAGTACCAAGCAAACAGAACATTAATTACATTGCCAATTAATAGGGTCATTATTGAGGATCTTATGCAGCAAAAAGGAGCTATCAAGAAAAATATTTTCAAACATGTTTTTGATGAGAGAAGATAATTTGAATTTCTTTCTCATTAGTTCCACCTCTTCTTTCCATAATCTTTTTCCCTTCAATACACTTCAATTTATGGATGAAGGATAACATGGCAGGATTTGTTTGGCCAGTTACAAAGCAAAAATGATTTTTAAGGGGGCTGGAAAAACAATTTAAGATATATTAACAGATTTCAGTCTAAAATAAGTACACATGCATATAACACATTTTGCATGAGTTTACATAATGAAATGAGCATTTTAATACATATAATGAAAAGATTAAAAGGTATTTAAATGATTAAGTAATTTCATATATACTTTCCACTTATTGAAACATTAATAGGATTTAATTTATTTCACTAAGCATATATCTTTAATGGCTTATTTTTAAATGTTAATTTGATAGGTGAAAGCAATTTAGCCAAGACATATAACAGAAAATTAATCATAGGTACCGTTGTTTTTTTTTTATTTTGTACGATAAAAGACCAAGAAAACAAATTACAGAATTGGACCACATTTCGTCTAAATGTATCAGCATAAAACAAACTGGAAAGGCCTATTATAGGAAGCAAGGAGAAAAATGACGGCCCCACAGGAAGAAAGAAAGCTAACTTAGCCAAACCAAGCAGCCAACTAATCAGCATACACATTCACTTTTCTGAATATGAGTTGACCTGTAAATCCCAACTTCAGTCCAACATGTTCTTTACTATAGATACTAATAATCTCAAATGCTTGGGAATTCTCTAATGTATTAAAGTAAATAAACTCATTTTAACCATGCAACCATAAGTAATCTTAAAAAAAAAAAAGAGAGAGAGAAATACTTTGCAAGAGGATGGCCATGCTAAATGTCTAGAATAAACCATGAAACATGCCCATGTATCAAGAAGCATTGCATGTAGCTGGGGGGCCATGGCTTCTTCTGGGATCCCATTATCATTGTTATTGAATTTGACCTTGGCAAGACTTTTACTTGTTCTTATTTCCAATTTCTTTTATCAAGCACACGGCTTTATATAGAGAAGCATGGCGTTTTTCAAATCAAATAGGAAGAGACATTAATACTAGAGTTGAAAGCTTGTAACAGTTACCATGCGAGATTATCAATCTAAAATCAATTATAATAGGAAGACTTTTACGAGCAACAGCAAAGACAAATAATCTAAAGAATAATTGATACATCGTTTTCTAGTGATATATATTTACAGAAGTACCAAATAGCAGCCAGATACAAACAGGATATTGAAACCTTCAAAATTACATCTTAACATATAGTCGAATCAGGGCGTATATAAAGAAAATAAATAACTACCTTCCCACTTCACATAAAAACAAAAAAATAGTAAAATTCACGCCATTTCTAAAGATTGTCTCTAGTCTAAAACAATCTAAAACCCGTATCAACTGACCAATATCACCACATCCGCACAACCATATTCAATTTCTCTATTCAATTTTAAAAATATATCGAGAAATTAAAGTTCAAATATAACAAAAGCTAACCTGTACTGGACACCCATTTTGATTCCAAGCGACATATCCACGCTACCAACCGCCTCAAGAATGGCAAAATACTTAACAGGATCATCTGCTACATATCTAAAAGGCCTAATTCCAGCCTCTCTAACCAAACCCAGTAGCTGTCTCCAACAAAGCTCCCTATAGTCATCTTTAGCTATCTCTACTGGGGTCTGCAACTCCGGCCTTGAATTAAAGTAAGCAAACACCTTCTCCTGTATCTCCCTATGTTTCCCTCTCATGTATAGCGACAGTTTATCAGTATTCACCACTAATTTCGCTGCTTTAGCGCACTCCACCATACCAAGCTGGTTGGAATCATAGAGAGAGCAAGGTATTGGGGTGAGGTGAAAGGACAACCTCTGGATGCGCCGAGAAACAACGATCTGGGTTTCATCCTCCGCTGTTGGATTAGGGTCTTTTGGCTCCATTTATATGAAGAATTTTTGAAGTTTCTTTGATAGGATATAGAAACAGAAAGTTTAATTCAGAGACACAGAAGACGAAGAAATGGGTAAAAGAAAGAAAGAAGAAAGATGGTTGGGTAGTTGAGTGGGAAAGTTTCTCTTCCCTATTTATATTTTATAAGATGCAGACTCTGACGTGGTGGTTGTTAGGATTAACGCGTGGGTTTTATTGATTGGATAGAAGCTTGGCAGTTAATAATGGCGCGCCTTCCAACGTAGTTAAGATATGTTCTTATTATTTTTATTATTCCTTTTTTATCTAATATTTATTTATTCCTGATTCAGGAAACTTATTTATTGAGAAGCGAAGGTGAAGAAGGAAACGTAAAATGTTGAGAAGATATTTTAAATATAATTTCTAAGAATAGTGATTTACTTTGTTATTACAGTTCTTACAAATTATTATAATTTCAATAAAGTTATTAAATTTTAATATAAATATTCAAAATAAATTAATTAAACTATAGCCCGTGCAATCCATAGTAGTATTATAAAAAATATGGATGAAGTTTTTTTCCAAAAAAAAATTATGAAAGTAAAAATAAAATTAATTATATGTACTCAATGTCAATGGCAGATCTAAAATTTAAAATTAAGAGATTAAAATAATTTTGAAAACTTTGGATGTTAAAATAAAAAAAAATCACATTATTTTACAACAAATTTAAGCTTTTTTTTTTTTTTTTTTTTGCTAGGTGGGCGCGATTCTTTCAGTGCAATAATTGAGGAGAGGAAGAACAATATAGGTGATACTGACGGTAGTGATTTGGAAAAGCGTCGAAATGTAAACTATAGTTACCAGACGGCGCAAGATTTCTAATTCACCTAAAAACTCTACAATGAGGGTAGTAGGAATGAGAGTGGGTAAAGACGGGTTTTTGTACTGGGCGAAGCTCATACAAAAAGACTGCAGAAGACAAAATCATCATTAAAGATATTAATTTTTGATTAATAACATCGTTATCTTGATATGTGGAATTATTAATTGATGACAGTAGTCATTTCAGTTTTACCAAATAGCAGTCGCAGATATAACTATAACAGAGATTAGTTTGAAACCTTTTCTAAAATAATTAACAGCATTTCCCATTCTTCAAACATATAGTCCGTGCCGACATCAGGGGCGGAGACATGATAAGAAGAGAAGTATAAGATAGACATACCTTCCCTACTTCACTATAAACAAACGACAATAGTAAAGAATTGTCACGCGCCCATTTCTAGAGATTGTGTCTCTAGTCGTAAAATCAATCTTAAAAACCCGTTCAAACTGACCTATATCACCACATTTCGTTCGCACAAGACATTTAATTCGAGTGGGCGTGCGTAGTGTCAATTTTTTAAAAATATATCGAGAAAGTGAGAGTGGGCGAGAGTTATAACAAAAGCTTCAACGTTATACTGTGGACACCCATTTTATGATTTCCATGATTCGAACATAGCCTACACTAGATCCGAATGCGTCGTCTTAATCAATGTGAATGGCCCCTAATACTTAACAGGGCAATCTGCTACATAATCACAAAAGGCCTGGAATTTCTCCAGAGCACATATCTGTCTAACCAAACCAAGCTAAGCTGATTCTGTATCACACTCCAATTGCTCTCCTTTAGTTATTCTTTAGCAGCTCTCTACACTGCGCGAGAGCGTCGGTGAAGTAAGAGCTAGAAGAGGCGGAGAGACGGTGTGCGATGTATGCTCCCTATGTTTCCCCTATGTGTATAGCGACATTTATCAGTATTGCACCACTAATCGCTGGTTTAGCGCAACTCCACCATACCAGGCTGGTTGCGAATCAATAGAGAGAGCCGAAAGGGGTATGGGATGTGAGTGAACGACAACCTCTGGAGTGGCGCCGAGAAACAACGATTTGGGTTCATCCTCCGGGCGGTGGAGGATTCAGGGTCTTTGGCCTCCATTTATGATGAAGATTTTTGAAGTTCTTTGATAGGACTTTAGAAACAAGAAAGTTTAATTCAAGACACAGAAGACGAAGAAGATGGGGTAAAGAGAGAAGAGAAAGGTGGGCGAATTTTGGTTATGAGTGGGTAGAATGTAGTTATCTCTTGCCGTGCGTAGAGTCGTTTGAGTATAGATAGTGTGCAGACTCTGACGCGCTAGAGTGCGGATGAGTATTAACGCTTGGTTTTATTGATTGGATTAGGAAGCTTGGCAGGTTATAATGGCGCGAGCCTATCTCGCTAGCGATAAGTTAAGATTAATAGTTATTACTTTTGAAGTATGTGGCCTTTGATTATTTATTATTTCGTGATTTCATAGATGATTGAAATACTTCATATATGCTTCGGAGAAGCGAGAAAAGAGATGAACGAATAAAATGTTGAGAAGAATATTTTAATATATTCTAAGATAGATGATTTACTTTTTGATTACAGTTCTTACAAATATTATAATTGCAAGTAAAGTTAGTGAAATTTTAATTATATATATATTTTATCATATATATAAATATAATTAAACTATTACCCGTTGCAATCCATAGTAGTATTATAAAAATGGATATAATGGATGAGTTTTTTTTCCAGAAAATAAAAGTTATGAAACGTATAAAATAAAATTGTAATTAATATGTACTCAATGTCAATTGCAGATCTAAAATTTAAAATTAAGAGCGATTAAAACTAATTTTGAAAAAGCTTTGGATGTTAAAATAAAAAAAAATCACATTATTTTACAACAAATTTTAAGCTTTTTTTTTTTTTTTTTTTTTTTTTTTTTTTTTTTTTACTTTGACCATAGCACCACTTCTCATTTCTCAACTCCTAATTTCTCTTCCATCGTTGTAGATATTTTCTTATTTTATTTAAAAAAAAAACTTTCATTTATTTATTTTGAGTTGATACCATTAAATATAGTTAGATGTTTCAAAGATTTTTATTTGGATACTCTAAAAAACCAAAAAAGATTTTTATTATTTGGATAATCCCTTATTTTTCAATTTATAAGGAATGAATAGTTTAAGACTCGGTTTTGTATAAATAAATTCAAAATATGAAATTCATCTATAAAAGAATTATTCATATTTTGTATGATTAATTTAAAACATATAATTTAATTGAATTCTATATAATTATGTATATAATAAATTTATAATTGAAAATTCATTTGCTTTTATTTTCTAAAATACCCTTGAAATAGCAACTTTACAAAAATAAATAATAGATATCAATTATATTGACGAAATTTAAGCAAGTACGTTACAAAAAATAAATCAAGATAGATAATCGATGGTATTTTATGTGTACGCCTTATATATTATTTGTAATGATTCATCTAAAAAAATAATCTATGATATACAAATAGAGGATAATAAAATTATTACAAATAATATTAATAAAATTATTACATTTAAATTAGTGATAAATAGATATTTAACTTGAATCACTCTCTCATCGGTAGTAAAAAAAACACTTAAAGATACTAAAATAAAAACACAATAATAGAATTTTAAAAAAGTTTTGGTCAAAGTTTGATAAAATAAATAATTAAAAAAAAATAAAAAAAATAAAAAATTGACTTTGTAGATAGAGAAGTATAGTTTTGTTAAAAAAAATTAGATTACTTAGTTTTTGGAATTCATTTAGAAATTCCACCTATTTTTGTAAGGTTTAGTGTGGTTATATCCAATTATATGAAATCGAATTCCTAAACTTGAAATCTAAATTTTATTTTTCCAAACATAAAATATATATTTCTAAATGAACTCTACAAAATTATGTGAAATTCATTTATCACAATCAGGGGTAAATTAACATTTTTATTCTGTCAAAACATTTCAACTACACATATATATATATATATTTTAAAGAGAACTACATTATAGTTTAGTTCCTAAAACTGTTGAATATTTCTTTGTTAACGACTAGTTATTCATTAAAATAATTATAATCTAGCTTTAATATTTAAATTGTTATTTTAATAGATAATTAATTTCTTTTAAATATGATATGTAAAAATTTTAATATAAAATTCTAGCTGCGGTGCCGTATGCGTGAATTAAAAATATATAAAGAAGGCACGTCTGAATATTAATATATTATTATCATTATCATTCTTAAATAGGAAAATAAAATAGTAAAAGTAAACTGCGACTGCGTAACTCTGAGGATAAGGGAAGATGTGGATAACGAGATTTGACCAACTGTTACTTACGTGGAATTTGGAAGCTTCCAAAAATGTTTAGACCAACTTATAATAATAAGTTTGATGCTTTGGGTAATGGTTTTTTTTCCCTGTTTTTTTTTTTTTAGGAGATAATGGGTATTTTCTTTAAAGTTTAAACTACTAAATTATTTATTTGCTTGCTAAAATGATCGGTTGGTTAACAATTTAAAAAAAAAAAGTAATTGTAAAATACATTAAATTAAATTGGGGTGGCCACTTCGGGATAAATGCATTTTCTTAATTAAGTTAAAATATTTATCATTTTTTAAAATTAAAAATTTTAATTGAGTTTAAATATTTGTAAATAAATTAAAATACTTTTTTTAAATAATAAGGTATTGGTGTCATTTTTTTATATTTAACATTTATTGTTCATTTAATCAATTTTCTTCTATATCATATTTTTGAGGAATCGTTTATTTAATCAGTTTCCCTATATTCTCATATCTATGAGGACTCGTTTTTAAGAATGTTTTTTACACGTTATTTATAATTATTATTGACACTTGTGATTTAATATTTTTAATAATAAATTTAATTTAAAGATATGTTTTATAATTTAATTTAATTAAAAGATTTATTTGACTTAATATTGATAAAATATACTTTAATTTTATATTTTCTTTATTAATATCTATAATACTAATGTCTATCATTCAAATTTTATTTGATTTATTATATTTATGTTTGTCAAAATCTAATATAAAATTCTTTATATTTCCAAACTTTTATGTTAATATTAGTATAATTACATATAATATTAACTTATACACGTATATATGCAAATAATCCCTTACCCTAGTGCTACGGGTGATGCCAGGTTCAATTATTGATATTGTAATGTTTAATTTAAATTTGTATTCCATCCTTTAGTGGTTCTTATTGCCCTTAACAGGTTTTTTAATAAATTATACTGCTTTTGATGGGCTGTGAATGGATGTATTTAACTGTTGCCAACAGTGCAGATTCATTGTATATAATATTGAATGACAAAAAAAAAAAAGAGTATATATAATATTTTATTTAATAAAATTTAATTAAAATAATTTTCTTACTACATAATCAACTTTCTAAATTAAAATTTATAATTATAATATTTTGTAATAATGGTTGTTCTATTTTGTTTATTGGAGCAATAAAATATAAATTTAAATAGAAAAGTAATGAAACTAATTAAATTAAATTATTTTTATTTTTTCAATTAATTAGATTAATAGATTTAAATATATTTTTGTTCATCCATATAGTAATAAAGTATTTTTGCCGATCCACTTCTATTCCCACTTTTATATATAATACTTTTTTGACAATGTGAATTCCACATTTATGCTGCTTGTTTATTTTCTATACAATATTAAGTATTTATTATAATTCCTCTTATATTGCTTTATACCTTTTGAATTGTAGAGGATGATTTCATTTCGAGATTTTAATAATTACAATAGCTAATTTTTGTTATCCTTTATGAATATCATAGCTACTTATATTTTGTAACTCATCCTGCAATAAGTGATATCCAATTGAAAAGAAAATAATGTATGCACTTCTTCTTTTAAAATAACATTTTGAACACATATTTTATACATTATTTATATTCATTTTGTATACTCATGATTTATTTTCTAAAAATATAATTTTTTTTATCTATGATATAATATTAAATTTAATTGTACATTTACATTTTATTTTGTATAGTTATTTCAACATAAAACATCTTTTATAAATTTTAAAAAATATAAAAATATTGCAGCCTTTTTAAAATTTATGAAATCTTCAATTAAATTTGATATGTTTACTGCTCCTATCAAATTTATCAAAAAGGATATGTTTACTTCCTATTATAATTTAAAATTTTTATATATATTTACCATTAGGTTATGCACTAGTGTGCTATTTTTGCAATTTTATTGAACATATGTTGTTTGTACTTGTAATTTAATGTTTCATATTTAGTTAATTTTTAATTTCATATTAAAATAAAATTATTAATTAATACTAAAAGAATTATTAATTGACTTCGATTAAAATTCCTATGTCATAACCTAAATCCGGTCAAGATAGGTGTGCAGCTAGATCATATTCCAACTACAAAATTTTATAGTAATTAATGCAATTACAAATAAATTTACATGCTTGAAGATTTTTCTTTATAACACTTTTTTTAAAATAATATAACAATTGCGGTATACAGATTTAGTTTTAAACTTGTTGAATTATTTAATTTCTTCAACCGAGTTTATACGCTAAATCAATAAAAAAAACAAGCATTTATTAAAAGGAGAACACTCTTGATGAAAAAAAAAAAGCGAGAACAATAATATAATCTGTTTATTCCACTTAAAAAAAAAAAGAAAAGTCGTTGATTCCACGTGGGACGGCAAAATGAGTGCCCGCGCTCCTTACTCCAAAATTGAAATAATTCAAAAACGCGGGTCAGGACCCGTAGTCACATCTGGTTCCCGCCTCTTCAAAATTTGGAATTTTGGGTGCGTTGTTTCTCAAATCCCATATCAAATCTTCAAAATTGGCTGATTATAATCATATACTTTATCGACGACTCAATAATCCTTCTCACAAGGTCAGTATCTTTAATAACCCTATCAAATTCTTGTTATTCACATCAAATTTTCATATTTTCTGGATTCTAGGGATTTAACTGCATACCTTTTATGTACTTCCAAAATCTTGCTACTCTGCAACGTAGTTTTGTTGTATAGATCCGTTTCGATAATAAGTGAAACTCATCTTATGTTTTTCTTGTACTTTCGCATTTTGAAAATATATTTTGTGGTTTCCAGGTTTGAGGACCAGCGGGTTTAACCCAAATTTTGTTTCTTTATCTTGAGATTCCTAATTGGTTGAAGTAGGACTTTCTTTCTGTTAAATTGGGTTTCTAGTTTTGTGGTAATTTTGAAGTTGTTTACTTTGTAGGGTCTGTTTTCTTGCTTTTTTGGCCTAATGATGACTGGAGATAATTTCACTGACGAGGTCTCCAAAACACGTGCAGTTTTGGGAGATCTAACAAATAGGCCTGAAAAAAGAGAGTTTTCGTCGATTTTGGGTGGTTCAGAGCTTAAATCTGGAGATGGGTGTGGTAAAAAAATAGTCTATGAAGATGGGGATTCATGTTTTGCTAAAAGAGTGTGTTTAGGAGTTGAAAGTTCTGTTAAGGAGAAATGTAAAACCAAATTTGGAGTTGATAAGAGTGATGAGAAGGATTTGCTTACAGAAGCTAAGCAACCTTGTGTATCATCTCCTATTGATAGTGATATTGATACTTCTCAGGATAATACTGTTACCATTATCTCACATAATCCTAATGAAAATAAGGAAACATCTAATTTGTTAGATGGTACTGTCAATCTTGTTAAGAGGGTTAGGGAAGTTGTGGATGCATCAAGAGATAGTTGTGCATCTAGTGGTTCAATGCCCACAAACTCTTCGTCGTCCAAGAAAGACAGTGATGATGAAGTTAGACTCAATTCTGATGTTAAGCAAAGCAATCTAGTAGATGATGTTGGCACAAGCGTTGACAAGGATCTTGGTGTCAGTGAATTGGCCAGTCGCAAATATGGGTCTCTTGAGCAGTCAAGTTTGCCCAAGTCACAGGGTTTGGTTAGATGCACAGAACTCCAGGGTGATGGTCATGCTAATTTGAGCGCGGTTGCTGACTTGCTGAATGCTTGCCCTTGTTCTTTTTGCTTGAAAGGTAACTATGAATATTGTTTGCGTTGCATTTTGCTTATTATGATATTGGTTACGGAGAATTAAAAGTCATATGTATAGTGTCTAAATGGGATATTCTTGTTTTGCAATTTCGCAATCAGCTGCCTATATTTTGTCAGACCTCCATTACCAGGACATCAAAGGACAAATAGCTGGTAAGTTTTTAAGTTGTATTGACCGTTTTACAGTCACTATGTCAATTGTGATGCAGATATTATGGTCATTGGTATAATGTTGTTTCTTTTTCCTCCTAGCATTAAAGAAGAGTCAGAAAGAAGCAAGCATCTTGGTTAATAAATATGGCAGGGGTAATCATACCGACATTCATAGCGAAGGAAACTCCAACAAATCCTCAAAATTAGAGTCTAATCTCTCTGCTCAGTGGAGATCTCTCTTTCAACACATGGAGGAGATAATTGTTAATGAAAGCAATCAACTTGTGAGTGAAATTTCTGCTCTTTTGGTTGATTGTACTCCTTATCATGCAAAATTTAATCTGATTTCAGTTCTTCATTGACGAAAAGATTTTTTGTTCACCTTAATTACTAATTCCTACTGCTGGCTATAAGAATTTGTTGAAAACAATTTATCTCGTGACTCCCTTGTCCCTCATTGAGGGGTCCTAATCAGTGTTTTCTTGATAGCACTTGCAACTTATGATTATAAGGCTAGGTTAGAAAGAGTACTTACTCTTCCTTTGAACTGTGAAATTATCATAAGTTTTTTATTCTAATATTGTCAAATCTCCTCCTGCAGCAAGCTAAATTAATTGCACTGAAAGATTTGAGAGAAAATCGCAAGATGGATCTAGAGAGGAACACTGGGATGCCTTCTGACAATTTGTAGTAACATTCGTTCCTCTGATGATCGTAAGACTTTCTTGTCCCACCAATTGTAAAAACTTGTGCATGTGCATAGACACACAAGTCTTTGTGTGTTTGCATATGTGCCTTGTATTGTTGTTGAGAGAGTTCCTGTAATTCCTATTATTGTCATGGTAGCTGGGTTCTACTGTGCGCCACTTGTAATATCTATTCGTGCGGTTATGATCTGTATGAGTGAAATTTTCCATTACATAAAATGAAATTTATGGTTTTCTAATTTCTACTAACCTCTCTTTGTGATGGTTGATTAACTTTGTTTCTTACTATCTACATTTCGTTTGCCTATTGCTGGTAGAATGGATTTCTTAAATTACTCTAAGGCTGGGAGGTTTTAGCTCCTTTCAATGTTCAGGTTTACATAGTACTGAAGATGGTTCAGTCTGTTTTAGTTCTGTCAGATTGATTGCTGTTCCTTACTCCCTTATTGCTTATGATGGTTTGCATTGTCTGCTTAACGAGGCCAAGTACATGCAAAACTATTTATTGTGGAAGCTCCATGATAGTTTGATTCAGTCTAAAAATGTGATCCAAAAAGAACGTCTTTTGGCGGTAGGCTGCATGTAAAAGTTAAGCCTTTTCTTTTCTGTATGATTTTTGGGTTCAGATAGAATTATTATCAATGAATTAGTTTTCGGCAATTTTTCGTTTTTCTTTCTTTTTCTTTCGGAATTTTTCCTATTTCTTGTTTCTACCTCAAATGGGATTTCTGTTAGATGGAGTCATAATATTTACTTTGCAACGTAAGATTCCCTCTTTTATTTGGATTGTGGACAAACTTAGCCAAAAGATCTAGAAGGGTCACTATAATATTGCTGGTAGACAGATCATTTAGTAAGATATTGACATGAACTGGGGCCTTTCTGGTAAAGGGAAATATTTTGTTTGGGTAGTATGCAGGTCAATTATATGGGCTAAAGTTGCATGTGCTAAGATGGATGTTTAGATAATATATCCTTCTAGTTTTAGATCATTTCAACCTGCATAGTAGATAAGTGTCCGATTTCCTTGTCCACGAAAATTTTTTTGGGAGTTAATTTAGCAAGATGGATCAAATTTATCATGAGAAATCTGTTTCTGATAAGAAGGATAATAAGAGTAGACATCATCTGCAGTGCAGAATTTATAACACTTATAATAAGAGTCGAGACTGTAAAGGGTTTTAGTTTGAATTTATGACATCATCTGCAGTGCTAGATTGAATTTTTGACTAGGGTTTTAGTTTTTCAATCTTAGAGAGGTGACCGGACAATGTGTAGAAATAATTATTTTGTTGGTACCAGTTCATTTGTTCTTGTTGTGCTGTGATTTTCTTTGCATTTAAGTTGGCCTAATTATGTCATCTACAGTTCATTTTATTTGTTTTTTTTTTTTCCTGTGTAAAACAATAGCAAATTTCTTATCAAGCCTGCTAAAACTGCCCCTGAATTTGTTGTAAGAATATTAAAAAGATATGTATGATTGGTTGTGGTTATTTATTAAGTTTTGAGCTGTGCATGTCATGATGAATGTACTTAATGTATTTTGTCAACAATAATGGATTTCTCAGTATATTTAATTAAACACGCTTTCGTACTTCTTTTCTAAAGCAACACTTTCCTTTTAATCTATAGACGTAAAATTCTAAATTGATTTGGGTATAAGTAATTCAATATTTTCGAATACTTACATCCTTACTAATAATAGTGCTATAATAAAGAAGTTCACTTTTTTTTTTTTTTTTCCAAAAAACAAGCTTTCATTATAAAAAAAAGAAAAAAAAAAAAACCAGAATAAAAAACTAAAACTAAAGATAAATTATAAATAATTGGACACTTCTTAGTTCTTAGACACAGTTCTTATTATAGACGTTCATGTATATCGTCTGTGTTTATCTGATGGAATTCAACCATTAAGGTAGCTAGCAGCCAAATGGCATTATCATCTATTAATATTATAGCTGCAAGTTTTTTAGTGCTATTCATTTTGATTCTATATCGGTAAATCTAGATCACACGGTCTGTCCTGTCTCAACAGGGGCTTTTTTGAATTTTACTATTTATAATTTTTTTTTTAATTTTCAATTGATTAAATGCTATAATGTAAAGACGTAATTATCCTTTATTTTAAATTTCAAATTTAAGTTATTTGTTGATTCTTAAGCAACATTTATTGCATTTAATTAGTTTCAATGCATATTACTTTTAGTTCCAATGACCATTTATTAAAGAATTAATTACTGACTAAATGTTCAAATGGTATTCAATTTGCTTATAAACAAGGAGATTAGAAACGAGAAAGATGTAACACTAAAAATTAAAAATACGTTAGATATTATCATGATTTATACTTTAAAGAATTAAGGATATTATCATGAATTTATTTAAAAAAACCTTTAAGATTATTCATGTTATGGATTTTTATTTAATTAAATTAGAGAAGTATAATTAATTCCCTTGCGTACATAAATATCTTAATATCAACTATATTATTCATATATGATTTATTTTGGCATATTACTTTTAGTTTCAATGACCATTTACTAAAGACTTATTAACTGACTAAATTGTCTAAAATTGGTATTTCATTTGCTTATAAAACAAGGATAGAAAGAGATGTAACACTAAAAATTAAAAAATACGTTAGATATTATCATGATTTATACTTTAAAAAGAATTAAGGATATTATCATATTTATTAAAAAAATCCTTTAAGATTATTCGTGGATTTATGGATTTTTATTTTTAATTAAATTAGAGAGAAGTATAGTATTAATGATCCCATTATACGAATATTGTCTTGAATATAAACCTATATTATTCATATATGATTTATTTTTTTATTTCTTTATACAATAAATAATTTTCTCAGATTTAATATTAATAATATAATTTATTAAATACGTATGAAATAATACGCAGATTATTTTTAATCAGAATTATAATATATTTATTATAATCCATGAAATATAGATTATTTTTTAATCGAAAAAATTTATTTCTTTTATTTAATCTAGTTATAATCACAAAAACTTTCTAACTAATCAAACTCGAAACATGAAAAAAATACTAACTAATTCAATTAAGTATATCAGTGTTTAATATAGAATTACTCTTGATTCCTAAAAAAAAAAAAATTACTCCTGTAAATAATATAGAATTATATATGTATATATGTATACCCTTATTGATTTAATTAGTAGTTTAATATTAAAGCATATCGTATAATTATATATATCATGTTTATTGTAAAATTGAATAATTATATTGTGCATGCATATGAAAGATTAAATAATTATATAATTAAAGTACATGGATCAATATGTATTATAGTACTACATATGAATTTTAAGAAGCAGTTGATCAATATGGACTATATAGTATAGCGATATTTTCTAATTCTATAAAATATATATATGCATGACATACATAATTATACCGCATGGTTTTTTTTACTATAGAAAAATTGACCATACTTAATTAAAATGCATTTTTTAAGAAAAACTCTTATAATTTTGCTATAGTTTTTTTTATTATTATTTCAATTGTTATGAAGTTTTAGAAAAAACAAATGTAATAACCTATTGGCTGGAACTTTCAAATTTGTGATCGAATGCAACATATGAAGATATAGCTAACATATTTGAACCTTATTTATCAATTTTATAATCAATCGAATTTTAAAATAATATTTTTATTTCTTATTAAAAGAATAAAAAAAAGAGTAACATTAACTTGTTGAACAACAATCCAGATCAATTGAAGTTGCATAATATATATATATATAAATAACAAAAGAGAGTAGGACTAGTTGAAACTAGTATTTTATGTTTGTTTGAGCTAGCTAGCTCAAGCTGTGCAAATAGCATCACCCATTCTATATAATGGAAGTAATCAAAGCTGCTTGACTTTGCATTATTTGGATCTGTGTTTATGTCTAGGTATCATTCTCAAGGACAAGGTCAAAAGTTTTTAGCTATTAGAGATGTCAATAACTAAATCCTACTGTTCTGTCAATAACTATATATCATATATATATATATGCATTCTGCAATGACTTCTTTGAAGCTAAATCCTATCATTCATTTGCGACCATGCATGTGCACTAAGGCTTGCCACGTTTCAACCAATTTGATTATTCTTCTCCATTATTGTTACTATATTGGACATTATTTCAGATGCACTGAGATTGACAATTTAAAGTCAACTGTTTATATATATATAAAATTTAAGGGAGTCAATGATATGATATTTTATTTGGTTTTAGTGTTGCAAGAATAACATATGAGGATCAGTGGATGTGTGTAGAAGTTGCCAATAGAATAATTCTTGGATTAAAACATTCTGTGGAAAAGGTAATTAAGCGATAATGCTTGGTGCTCTGCATGCTCTCTTATCATGTCTTTGCGCAGGAGCCAATCAAAAACTGAATAAATGATTTCCCTGTCAACCGTGGTTTAATTGGGCAAAGGCTGTCATATGATACGTGTAGAAAAATATAAAATTTTTGCTTAGGGTAATTACATATGCAAACCAATTGGCATAATGAGAAAATTATCGAGGAGTGCCAAAAAAGGTTTTTTTAGATAAAATTATCAAATGTAGTTTATTTAAAAGGATTCTTTTCTATTAATAAAGTATTGGTTGGAATGGCAAGCAATCTTAATTCTCAGTATAAATACAAATTTCATGCTAACGAAGCTGCTCAATGGTTTAATTGAGGTGAGAATGAGATGGAATATCGATAGAGACACATGGTGACATGGAGCAAGTCCATAACATCACATGCACAATCCACGTGATGTGCTCCATGTATTATATAAAAATTTTTAAATTTATAAAATAAAAAAAAATAAAAGTTTAAGATATTGGGAAGGAAATTTTTAATTTTTTGATTATTAATTTGTTTATATTTATTAAAGTTGAATTTCAAAATTAAATAGTGGATTTTTAGAAAAATGATATTAATATTGAAAAAAAATAGAATGATGAAGGCAGCAACCGATGAGACATGGAAGGGCTAAGATTACACTCTGAGGAAGATCAAGAGTCACCAACGGAACAAGAGAAAAGGCGTTTTCCTTCTGCTCGGTTTTTTCACGTCTCTCAAAACCCCATTTGTCTTCACTCTCTTTTTGTCATGTTCTTCAACTTCCCTATCTCCACCTTTACTTTAAGTTTAGTCTCACCTAATTTTTTTTTCCAAATTACGCCAATTTATTTGATAACCCTTATTCTATTTTTCTTATCGT